TAGTATAGGGTTAGGTTAGGGCTGGCTCTGTGTGTGCTGTGGGTGAGACTCAGGGCCTCACACATGCAGGGTGAATGCTCTCCCACTGAGCTACCCCAGCCCCCACAGACCTGAGTGTGTGTGTGTGTGTGTGTGTGTGTCCAGTCTATGACATCCAGCATCTAGATCCCCTTGTGGACCCTCTCCATCTGGTCAGGCCAGGCACAAAGGACTCCACAGTCAGACGAGGTACATGGCTTCCATCCTGGATGACGCCAAGTTGGGATGAGACCTCTCCTCTGGGAGGTGGTGTGCAGTGGACACAGTGGAAACCCAGATCCCACAGCCAGCGGGGACCCAGCTCATGGCTCCCCAGGCTGACTGCTAAGTTGAGGCCACTGGTTAAGATCCTCTGCAAAGGGGCACAGGATTCAAATCCCAGCTCCGCCATGTGCCAAGAAATTGAGTCCCTTCAATACTTCGGTTTTTCTAATTTTTAAAAAATCTTCCTGCCATATAATAATTTGTGGGGTTATTTACACTGTGAGATGACTAAATCAAGGTAACATAGTCACCACCAGGCATCTTTATCTTGTGTGTATGTGTGGTGTTGGTCAGTTTTCTGTTACTGTAACTAAAAGACCCAATGAGAACAACTTAGAGGATAAAAAGTTTCTTTCGGCTCATGGTTTCACAGGTTCAGTCCATGGTCGGCCGACTCCAGGACTCTGGGCCTGAAAAGAGGTGGACCATCATGGAGGAAGGATGGGGTGGAGGAAAGCAGCTCAGCTCGGGAGGCAGACAGAGAGAGAGAACAAGGGGCCTGGGCTGCTGTGATCCCAAGGGCACACCCCCAGGGGTCACCTCCTCCAGCCACTCTCTACCTGCCTGCAGTCACCTCCCAGTGAATCCCCAGCAGTGGACTGACCCACCCATGAGGTTCCAGCTCTTACCATGAAAGCCTGTCCCCTCTGAACGGTCCTGTTTTGGACCTTCTCAGAATGTGCACCACTTAACAAAGCCTAGAATGAAGCAGGCTCTCCAGATACTTTAGCCCAAATAATTTCTTAGGTAAATGACTGTCTAACTCCCTGGCATACAGTAGGTTGTTATTATTACTCAGATACTGGTCACAGAGCAAGTAAGTACTTTGTTTCTACGTTCACTTTAATTCATCTAAATATTTCTTGTGCATATATTATGTCCTGGGCAGCATGCTGGGCTTCTCCTAATGTCAGGGTGGGCAAAGGAATGCACAGACCAGCAGAGGATTGATTAGTACCTCTTTTCTGTGGTTCTTGTGAAGACTGAATACGCTAATTCAGGAAAATGTTTTGCATTTTCAGGAATGGAATATTTGTATTAGTCAGCTATTGCTATGGTAGAGCTGTGTAACAAATACCCCCAAGTCTTAGTGACCTCCAACAAATAGTTGCTACTCTTCAGTTTGTCTCTGGGTCTGATTTGGGTCTGCTCCATGTGTCTTCCCCCGAGCTGGGAGCCACCTGTCCCAGGGCCACTCCCACCGTATTCTATAGAGCAGAGCCAGCCTTTAGGGCAATGGTCTCCATTTCTTCATGGCAGGAGCTACGAAGTCCCACTGGACCAGGAGCAGATTCAGGGTGCGGGGAGGGGGACCCCAGCGTGTTTGCAGAAAGTCTGGAGGCAGGAGACCCCTGTCCCTGCTCAGGGTTTGCTGGGTCAAGCTCCCTCCTGGAGGCTCCCAGCTCAGCCTCAGCCGTATTTGCATATTTCGATGGTTCCTCCACCGATCATCTGTCGCAGCAGGAAGAGCCTTTCCTGTCACCAGCCCCTGGAGAATGATTAAAACCCCACATGGCCTCCTCCAGACTTTAATGGGAGTTTCCTGGAGGCATGAATCTGGCCCTCATTTTCCATAATTAACTCATCCAGACACCTGGTGTGGCCCCGTGCTGGCTCTGCGCACGCCTCATGGAGGAGGGGAGGCTACAGCTCCCCTGAGACCCATCCTGGGCCTCATACAGAGGGGGTTCCGTATGAGGGAGCCACGGGATATCAGGATTCCCATGTTACAGATAAGCTGACTTTGAGGCCCAGAGAGGGGAAGTCACTTGCCCAAGAACACACAGCCGGGAAGTTGGGCACCAGGTTAGTGGTTCCTTGGGTGGAGGCGAAGGGATAACTGGAGGAAATTGAGGGTGGACGGCAATGCGGGTGCTTTCTCTGGACAGGGCAGGCCGCCTCAGGAGATGGGATTTGACCCCAGCTCTGACCCCTGCCGCTTGCCATGAAGACTTGGACATCCACATGTGTCAACCACTCCCTTGATTGGACACTTCTCTCTTGGTCCCCATCACCCACAGTGGGCAGCAGAAAGGGGGACCCTGTCGAAGCACAGCAGGGTGGGTCTCCGGTCAGCAGAAACACTGGTTCCTGAGCCTTCAAAACGGACTTGAGGATTGAGGGCCAGAAATCTGGATTTTAATAATTCTCCAGTGTAGTCATTAATATGCACAATGACGGGACCCTGCCAGGAGAGGTCCCCACGCAGCGGCGGCACTGGTCATGTGGAAGGATATCAGGCTGGACAAAGTATTCACCAAGAAACCTCAAAGAGACCCAGGAAAAGACTGTGAGGAGGGGCTGACGGTGGAGCGTGCCCCTCAGGAGGGCTGCGGACAGGGCCCTGATGATTGTGTAACTTGAGCCTTGCCCTCTGAGCCCACGTCCCTGTCACCAGAGAGAGTTAATAAGGAGCTCTTCATGCAAATAGCCTGAGAGCAAAGCCTTGCGGGGGTTGGACTTTGGTACTGGTACCGCTGGGCCGGCCATTGCGGGAGACTACAGTGGTGGCCACCATTCTCCATCTGTCTCTGTGCCCATGTTCATGGCCAGGTGAGTGAAGCACATCCCCACTGTAACTTGGCTCAAGCCAAGTCCGACTCACTTTGACCAAGGAGATTTGAGCAGGCGTGGCCCAAGACTTAAAAAAGAGCTTGTACCTGGACAAGTAGGATGCAGTCCTCCAAGTTGACTGGCAGCTGAGCCCAAACATGTGAAGGAATCAAGTCAGGACCCACAGAGCTGCCTTGCTGCCCACCCAGGCACACACCCACGGAGCGCTTGGTTTTCAATGTGATGGAGGTTGCTTGTTACGCAGCATTACCACAACAGTGAGTGTGACTGATACAACTTTGGACTAGATCATGCTGGTGTCTTCTGGCAGAATAGCCGGTACGTGGCCCCTGGACTCTGTGTTTGGTGATCCAGTGATCCAGTGATCCTGGCAGGACTTGCCTGTGAAAATTAATTTTTCAGACTTCTTGGGTAGCCCATGGCTCCTGACCTCCTAAATATGAGTCTAGTTTTTACTCCTGCAGATTTAGTCACGGAGCCCTGCAACCCCACAGGTCATCCGTCCCACACATCTGAGATCCCACTCTGCCCTCAGCCCTCCTGCCCGCCCTCCTGGAAGACACACACAAGGCAGCGGCGTCAGCTCTCCTTTCCTCCTGGGACCTGACATCACGGATCCCGGCAAGCACCTCCACGCCTGGCCTGATCGTCACGTGTGACGTGTCCCAAGAGCCCCGGGACCACGTGCCCACACTCCAAAGCCTGTCAGTAACAGAAATCGCTCACGCAACGACCGACTGGGAATTCTGCTCAGGGCTCACAGGTATTGAGCCATCGAATGCTCACATGGCAGCACAGGAGGTGCCATGATTAGGAGGCAAGATGAGAACCCAGGGCAGCTCTAGAGGGAAAAATCGAACTCAGGTGAAGGGTGAAAATCTATATTATTGTTATCCCGTATTAGGATAATGCCAGACGATATTAAAGGGCTCTCTCTCTCTCTCTCACGTTGACCAAGACAAGACACAAGTGACCCAGTGGAAAAATGAAGAAAAAAGAGGAAGTTATGGAAGAAATGCAAATGGCCAGCAATTCAGGAAAGGAGGCCCAGACTCCCCAGAAGTTAGGGAAATGAGAATTCAAGTAACTGGAAGGATCCATCCACAGGCTGCAGGTAGCACAGGGCCAGACAGCGGGTGGTCAGCTCAGAAGCTGAGAATGAATATGATCCATGGGTCTTCAAGTCCCCGCCCCCTCCTGCTCCTCCTCTAATCCTTCCCCCTCCCTCTGCTTCTTTTTAGCATCTCTTCAGAGAGGATTTTAGGGAAACACTAATTCCACAGAAGGATCACAAAGAGCCACTGTCGTTGAAACTGCTCTGACCCCACGACTCTATCCTCGTCATGGAGCCCCAAAGTCTCCCGTAATATGACAAATGGGACTAACTGAACAGCCCAGAGAGGGCAGGAATTACCCGAGGTCACACAGCACATCGTGGCTGAGCTGGACTAGGACCAGCGGTCCTTCTGCTGAGTGGCTATCATAGTCCTCACCATCCTCGTCTTCGGAGTTGTCCTTCACCGGGCAGCTTCTCAGTGTCCAGCAATGTCCACTTCTCACAGTGATCCCACATGAGGTGAGTGTGGCTTGGACAGGCAACAGAAGGGGTCCCATGTCGCCCAGCGAGGAAGTAGCAGAGTCAGGATTTGAACCAGGTCTACCTGATTCCCAAATGGGGGTGCTTCATGTTGTGGCAAGTTGCCCCAGGAGAATCAGCTGCTGGTGATGAGAGTGGTGGGGGGACCAGGGGACATCAGACCAGCAGATGTACCCCTCCCCCACCCCCATGCCGTGCTGTTGCCAGGGTCTTCACATCTTCTCTATCTCTGGATACCATGCCTCTTCCACTTAACCCCCAGCACTGCCCGCAGTGAATACACAGTAACTACCATTTTGTGGTTGTTTGATTTTAGAGACCAGCTGTAAGTCACCCATGGGGAGCAGGGAGGGGCTGGAGGCACAGACCCCTGGGTTCACAGTCTAACTGATTTCCAGCTGTGTGGACCAGGACAAATTAACCTGCTTCTCTATAAACTCACGCCCTTAATCAGTTTTCCAATAACAATGCTTCACCCATGAGGATGCTCTGGGCTGCAAGTAAAAGAAAACTCAACATACACTGGTGAAAACTCGCAGCAAATCTATTTTTCTACCTATCAGCAAGCGTCCAGGTAGAATGGCCTTTGTCCTCTTTTCATTCTGCCGTCCTCAGAGTGACCTTCACCTTCTGACATCTGGTTCGATGGCTGTCCAAATTGCAGGGGCCCCTTCTACGTCTAGCTCTGAGCTGCAAAGTGCCCGCCCCCTTTCATGCGCCTTCTTAGTCATGGCCCCGCCCAGTCAAAAGCCCCAACCGACTTCCCCTCACTTCTCATTGGGCAGAACGGGGTCCCATGCCCGCCCCTAAGCCAATCATTGGCAAGGGAGACACGTGCTTAGCTTTAGCCAATCACTGGGGAGCAGTGGCTGATGGGAAACCTGCGCCTACTATAAAAGGTGGCACTTGCGGCTGTGCTGAGCGTCCAGCCCGGGGGGAGCCTCTGCGGTGTTCAACCCCGAATCTAGGACACTTCAGCTCTGAGGACACCAGAAACCCCCGGCCTCTGGTCAGCGAGCTCCTGGGTGAGAGACGGCAGGGGAACTTCTTCCCTCTCGTTATTTTCTCCACGGCTGGACTCCATCATTTTTCTTTTGATGACCTCAGTGCCCAAACGAAGCCACAGAAGATGGTGCATCTGGAACAAATTAGGAGACAAATTGAACTTTCCGGAAAATTCTAGTGAAGAAATGAGTGGGCCTGGGCCAGGCCTGAGTTGTCTACATTCAAAAATACTCATGGAGGGGCTCCCCTGGGCCAGGGCGGACCCAGGCTGACCTGTCGATGTTGTTGTGCTGGTTGCTGCGTCTTAAAGGAGTTGTTCCTTGTTTTGAGAAGATTCCAGAAGTCTTGTTTATCAACGGGGTGAGTAATAGCCACCGATGTCCAGAGTAAAAGTCAGCCCGATTACAGGAGGGGAGCAGCCAAACTGCAGCCGGGGGAAGTGACATTTCCCCTCCCTCTTTCACCCTCCCTCCGACACCCAGGCTGGGCTCGGCTCTGGACTAGCTTCTGCCAACAGCAGCGCTTGGATCTGTTGAAGCAACTGGAACGGTTCTGAGCCCAGGCCTTAGCTGAATCCTGTGAGGTCACTTATTCCTCCTGACTGGTCTGCGTCCTGCTCTTAGCAGGGCACATCCAGGGTGGCCACTGGTCCCAGAGTGAGAGGCTGGGGAGCCTGGTTACAGCAGCCTGCACAACCATCCTGAGCTGATTCACAGAACTGAATGAATGCTCGTTGGCTTTGTCAACCAGGGTGATTTGGGGGGCATTACTGCACCATTATTGCAGCTGAAACTGATGACTCGAGACATGGCCACAAAATAGTGATAGTAATCCCTAACGCTGAGTACGTGGCAGCCGCATGTGCCATCAGAAGGACCACATGAGGGACTAAAAATTGGTGCCACCACTCTGGAAAGCAGTATAGAAAACTTGGAATGGAACCACCATTTGACCCAGCTGTCTCACTCCTCGGTTATACCCAGAGGACTTGAGATCTGCATACTACAGTGAAGCAGCCACATCAATGTTTAGAGCAACTCAATTCACAATAGCTGAGCTATGGAACCAACTTAGGTGCCCTTCAACAGATGTGATAAAGAAAATGAGGTATGTATACACAATGGAATATTACTCAGCCATTAAGAAGAATGAAATTATGGCGTTTGCCGGTAAATGGATGGAGCTAATATTCTGAAAATTAGCTAAGCAAATATTGTGCTAAGTGAAGTAAGCCAATCCCAAAAAACCAAAGGTCAAATGTTTTCTCTGATATGCAGATGCTCATTCACAGTAAGGATGCAGGTAGGGGAAGAATAGGTGCTTTGGATTAGGTAGAGGGGAGTGAAGGGAGGGGAGGGGCCGTGAGGGTAGGAAGGACAGTAGAATGAATCGCACTTTATTTCCCAGTGTGCATATGTGATCACATGACCAGTGTAACTCTACATTGTGCACAACCAGAAGGATGAGAAGTCACACCCCATTTATGCATAATGTGTCAAAATGCATCCTGCTGTCATGCATGACTGATGAGAACAAGTTTAGAAAAGATGAAAAAGATACAAAATGATCCACGAGTCAGGAATCATTATCCTTGTTTTATCAATGGGAAAACTGGGACTCTGTGAAACTAGGGGACTTGCTCAAGGTCACACGACCAGCAAGCTGCGGAGCTGAGATTTAAGTGGCCCTACATATTGGTCTTCTCTGTTCATCCTAAGTGAACAGTCGAGAAAAGCAGTGTCGTTCCTTCAGAGCGCAGGACTGTGGCTCTGCCGCCTGAGCTCAGGCAGGAAGCTCTTCTGGAGCCAACCCTGGCGCTCCCCAGAAGCCTGGATCATCCCACGAGGGTGGGCCATGTGGCAGGGTCTCAGTGTCTGCTGCTGTGCGAGCATCC